TATAGACAGAGATACACCTACATATGTGTGTGTTTGTGTATGTGTGTGCTGGTTAGAATGAACTGTACAGAGAAGCACCGATTTATATTTTATTAAATTTTAAATCTCTAAGAAAGAGCTTTCTTGATCCTAGAATAATTTTTGACATCTGATATCTCTACTAGTCTCTAACTAGGCCTTAGTGAGTAATTGGACCAGTAAAATAGAAGCCTTTCATTTATATAATAGTCTTAGGAATTGTTTAGAAGCAAGCTTAAGTTTTAATGAAGCACAGCTGGGAATGATAAAGAGCCGGGAAAATATTACAAAGTGTTTGGGGCTGGCCTGGAACATGGTGAATGGAACTAGAGGTCCAGCGGGGTGAGAGGAGAACCTGTTTGTTCCATCTCCTCTCTCCAAGGCTTGTTGTTCACACACAGGATGTTTTCCTGTGTCTCAGATATACCAAGCTCATTTCTGCATTAGAGTCTACACCCCTTCCATTCCCAGCAAGCTGACATTCCTACCCATGTCACATAGGTCTTTGATCAAAACCCAAGCATCCCTCCACATCATCTAAAGCAGCCTTTCTGCTGTTCCACCAGTTTTCTCTCCTACATTTCCTTCAGAGAATAAACTGTCACCTGAATTGCTTTCCTTTCTCTACCCAATTAACATATAATTTTCAGGATAATAGAAACTTTGTACATCCTATTCACAATGAGCCTGGGAAGTTTTACCTAGAACTGAGCCTGGGGAAGGAAAAAAGTACTCAAAGTCGTAATTTAGAAAGGGAGATACTATATTATAAGTCCTAATAATGGGTTGTAGAATTTGGAGCAGGAGCAAAACTGGTAAAATTTTATTGCTTTCATTTGTCTACATGTAAAAACTAGTTATTTCAAAACATATTTTAGTACTTGGTTAATAGTGTTTAATACAACTGAATCAAGATTTTAGGAATAATCAGATGGTCTTTCCTAGTCCTCTTGGCAGAGTGAAGCATTGCTATAGTGAACACATGTGGGATAATTGATTAAACCCATTTTGAAGATAGAATGAGAAAAGATGTAAAAATCGTTGGTTCCAACTTCTTTAATAATTTACAATAGTGTTATTTAAGTACATGTGATAATATAATCAAAATCATTAGTTAGTAGACCTGAATAACGTTAGGTAATTAATTTTTAATGTGGAAAAGTCATTAGATAATTGATATGCCTCTATTTTGGTGTAAATATTTAACATTATGCTATCTTTGTCTCAGCATTTAGCATAGTGTTAGACAAGTAATAAATATTCAGTAGGTGTTTGACACCACAATGAATGAATGAATGAAGGAAGGAAGGAAGGAAGGAAGGAAGAAATCAGGTTTCTGTTATGAAAATGAAATTTAAGGCTTGAAAATGTATGAAACAAAGACAGACATGGAATGCAAAGGGACAGTAGACAATCATTTGTAATATTGTGAATGGACTCATAGGCAGATAAAGTTAATGGTTTGTATACATTTTTAGTTTTTATTGCATTAAGTTATATTGTATTAGATCAGCAATTCAAATTCTATGAGTCAGTCGTCAAGAAGTATTCAATGAGAACTTACAGCAGCCTAGTTCTCTGTATTCTGGACATACAAAAACAACCAGGAGAGAAGCAGCTATGAGTATTGTATTTCTAGATATTGTATTTTTGGAGCTGTATTGTGGTATTGTGCGCGAGAGCGCACACACACACACACACACACAGTTTAGATTAACCAAATGTGGTTTATTCTAATGCATTTTAAACTATTTTTTAATTTATTAAGAACATTTAAAGAAAATGGAAAATAAGGTAATCCTTTATATTCTCTGAATTGCACATATCAATCTACAAATTTTATTTCATATATTCCAAATTTTGATTAATAAAAAAGTGTAAAATGTGTGTCCATTTAAAATAGATGTAAAAGACTAAATAGAAGTGTTTTATCTGTAGGATGTTTAAATTTCTAATGGTGTTTCTTAGCAAAGATTTTAGAAGAATTTACACTATAGTTATCATTATCTTAAAGTGTTCTTGACATGACTCAGGATGAGATTTTTATTTATTGAAACCATATTTTTAGGTTATAGCAACAAGTGAAAAATGAACTCAGGAATAATATGATGGTCTTTGCTGGTCCTCTAGCAGAGTGAAGCATTGCTATAAAGAGCACAATCCTGTGGGATCATTGATTTTAAAAAATTGAATTAATTAAAAAGCTTCAGGAATTAGATCATAATTATTCAAGGTACTTTCTTTTTCATGTTTTCTGTCACTCCTTAGATATCTTTTATAAATTGATAAAGCTATATAATATTAGAACATGAAACTTCCCTTAGGGACCAATAATGAGATGACATTAATGGGTTATGCTGAGTTCTGCCAGGATGAATTCTAGCCTCAGCCACCAGAGAACACATAGATCTGAGTGATACCAGTAGCTTCAGGAGAAAAACATGACAGTCATGATGTATTCTGTAATGTGCCATGGATTTGAATATCTAAAAAACACAAATCCAGTAAATATCAAAATCAGGAGTGAAATTCATAATCTTCCATCTATTGACTTTTAAAAAACACTTAAATCATTAAATATCAACATGAAATTTCGAGGCATGTAATCATGATTTTCACTAAAATCATTAATAATGCAAATTGAATAATACCCAGTATCTGCTCAACACTTTATATTTATTGTATTTTTTTCCTCCATATAGCTTATGCATCAGTGAGACCTTCAAACAGATCCATGCCAACACTTGTCATCCTTGTTGTTGTTTTTTACATTAAATATCTGAAGCTTTAAAAGTTAATAGAACTCTCAGGCCAAACATCTCGTCCATGGGTTACTTATTTCAAGAGATTAAACTCTAAAATAATATATTTCTCTATAAAATGGTCTATCCAAAATTTAAGCTTTACATTTGTTATTTTCCCAGCTCCATTGGACAATTAAAAAATAATATATATGTGATCTATGATAATAAATCCTTTACTTACTGTGTTTGGTGCTGAGAAATTAAATATTAATCAGACTTAACTACTAAACTCAAATAACTTTCAGACTTTGGAAGTCACACCTTGAAGCAATTGATTTGATTATACTGTGGCAGATGATCACAGTGACATAGCAAAAATGCCCTATAAGCAATAAAGAAATAAGGGCCCAATTTGCTGTTGGATAGCAGGATTTGAACAGCTGCTTAGAGATGCAGAGCATACTTAAACCAATATTACCATTAGTGAATATTGAGAACTGGACATTGATAGTGTACTGTGAAATCTACCTTGACATGTCATTCATCCCTGCTGGCTGAAAATATCACTGATAGCAGCTCATGACAGCCCATTTTCTCAAAGAATTGGTCCTTCATGCTTTAGTCAAATGATCACTTCCTAGGTTATTAGACCAGCTCCCACCTCTGAACACTGACCTCCATTGTATGAGCAATACACAGGGTACACAGTTATTTTTCCTGGCTTTAAAGTGAGAAATGTATCTATATTACAGATTTTATTCCATAATTTCTAGGTGGTCTAATCTAATTAGTCCTCAGATGAGAACTTATTTTTTTGTTTCAACTTGTCTCCCTAAGTTTTAGCTTGGTTCATTCCCAGCCTTTCTGCTAAGAGGACTCATCATTTCAGTCATTTGAACACGAAATTCCATCTTCACTTCTGTGGAATCAAACCAAAGATACATGATGCCATATCAGTAGAAGATGAAGAGATGAGATAGCTGGATGACTTAGGCAGTTACAAATTTATGAATTCATAAGATGCTGGCACGGGCGTGCATGTGTGTGATCATAATATCTTTGAAAGGATCTTTTTTACACACCTGTTACATACTTTCAGTCTTATACTGGATTAACCTAGTGTAAATTTCTCAAATCCAGAACTATATACTTCACATCATAGAGATGACCAAAAGCTATTTGAATAAATGAACAAAGATGTAGCATGCTAAATATAGCAATAATGTGGAAAATTGCACTTATATGCCAAACTGTTTGACAAAAGATTTTAATTAAACATTTTTATCAAATGTCTCTAATGTATTTAAATACATTAAAGGATAACTGTCAGGACAAATAAATTAGCTGCTTGGTCATGTCATTATTAAAATCGAACATAGAACTGTAATAGCTCATGTCACAAAGTGCAATTCAAATTCATTTAAGCAAAAAAAATGGAGTTACTGTATTATTTAATTGAAAAGCCAAGAATTATAATGACACCAATTCTGTCTGAATCCAGGTGTCTTAACTATTTATCAGAAATTCTTTTCTATCCAGGTAGACTTTTCCCCAGGATCAAATGAAGGCAGATTTTCAGTCCTCAGTTCTAATCCTATATCCTCCTAAACATAAAGCTAGAAAAAAAGAGAGTTTTCATTTTACAATATTATCATTTGGACCAAAAACAACAACAACAACAAATAAGTACAAGGGGTATTTCTATAAAGGAATTAAGGATAACGAATAAGCCCAAATCAAAAATTTCTGTCATAGAAATGGTATTTGTGGTGAATAACTAAACATTTAGTCAATGCAATAAAAGTGAACCTAGAAATTATGCTGTTTATAGGAAATAATTAAAATGAAGAATGTTATACTTCAAATTTTTATAAAGGCAAAGATTTTTGCACTTTAAATGAAACATTTCTTAAAGAAATATGAAATACCTCTATCCCTGAAATTATGTAAAAGTGTAAAATACTCACTTAGGATAAATGAATTTTGAATATATTGACAAAATTTTGGCCTAGAATTACTGATTTCTTAATGAGCTCTTTGATATTCCTGTGGTGGGGATGAATGTCCCAGATGTCCTCATATTAAAGGCTTGATCCCCAGACTGCCACTATTGGGAGGTGGTGAACCCTCAGGAAGTGGGGCCTGGTGGGAGGGCTTTAGGTCATTGGTAGCATGTCCTTGACAGGGATTGGGAGATCATGGTTTCTTTCTTTTTCCTCTTGTTTTCTGGTCACACAGTGAGAAGTTTCCTTTGCCATAACTTCGTTGCTATTGTCATCTAACTGCCTGACAAGAGGACCACAGCAGTAGATCCCCCTGACTTTGGACGAAAGCCTTCAGAACTGTGAGCTAAACAAATTATATATATATATATATATATTAAATGTGATTACATTTATATACAGGCAAACTAGTTAATATATTTTTATGGGTACATATATGGTTGGGAAATTTTAAAAACATAATAATAATGATGCACATAAAATACAATTGAGTGGTTATCTTTGGTTCTAGAGATGAAGGTGAATGTGAGCTGGAAGGGAAGGATTTCTGATGCTCTATTCATTAACGGAGTGATGCTGCTGATTATTCTTTGGATGCTTTGTACATATAATTTGATATAACTTTAATGTGATTAGCATGAAAAATCTTAGCACATAGCCTTTTAAAGTACCTTAGTAGACTTTGTCACGTAGTCAACTAATTAATACTATCAGTTTTCTTACTCAGCATAATCATCTTTCATAGAAATTATAATTTGCAATTATATAATTGGGTGTTATCATGTTTTTAAATTTTTTAAAAAAATTATTAATTTGTTCTAATTAACTATACATCTCAGTAGAATACATTTCTGATACATTGTACATAAATGCAGCACAACTTCTCACTCCTTTGGCTGTACATGGTGCCATCACACCAGTAGTGTAATCATACATGTATATAGGGTAATAATGTATATCTCAATCCACCATCCTTTCCATCCCCACATCCCTTCTTTCCCCTCTACCCAATCCAAAGTTTCTTCATTCTTTGAACCCTGCCCCCTGCCCCCTATTATGGATCAACATCTGCTTATTGGGAGAAACATTTGGTCTTTGGTTTTTTGGATTTGGCTCATTTCACTTAGCATGATATTCTCCAACTCCATCCATTTACCTGCTAAACCTTATATTTTATATTTTAGGTATTTTGTTATGATAATGGAGCTTATTAACACAGACATTAACATTTTTATTTTAAATAAAACACATGTAACAGAAAACTGTACCAAAAATATAGTTTAATTAATTGTATAATGTGAAGAATTTGTTAATCAACACCTGGTTTAAGAAATAAAGCTTTGCTCAACACCTGTTACATCCTATGCCCTATGCCAATATACGTACCTGTTGTTGTTTTTTTTTTTTTTTATGTAACTGTCAATAGCCAATTCTGCCTTTTAAAATCTATTCTCATATTCTTTAGAATTTTATTGTGTGTGTATGTATGTGCACACGCACACTCACATATATGCATAGATACTAACGTTTTTATTTTTATTCTATGATACATTTTGTTTTTCAGTCTACTCCACTTTTTAAATATCCTCTTATAGATTTTTTTCCTTTTTTTTTCTTTGTTTTCATACCGGGATTGAACTCAGGGGAACATAACCACTGAGCCACTTCTCTAAGAATTTCTTTGTTGGCATACCTGTTTCTTTCAAACTGTAGAATTTTCCATGGTCTGGGCTTTATTATTGCATTATAGTATGTTCCTTTTCAGTCCTGAAAATTGGCATATGGAACCACAGATTATATTAAAATAGATTTTATAACTTTGTCCAGATACATTTTTTATGTGAAGAGTCTAATATTATCTGACATTCTTTTTTATTTTTATTTAATTTAAACTAGGAGCACTTTATCACTTTGATACATCCCCAATCCTTTGTTTTTTATGAGACAAGTTCCCTTTAAGTTGCTTAGGGTCTTGCTAAATTGCTGAAACTGGCCTCAAATTTGCAATCCTCCTGCCTTAGCCTCTCAGGTTGCTTGGATTACAGGTATGTACCACCACACCCAGCAGATATTACTTTTTAATGGATGCAAATTAGTTATACATAATAGTGGGTTTTATTGTTTCACATATGTACATGCATATAACATAATTTGATCAATTTTCCTCCACACTATCTGCCCTTACCCTCCCCTCTGTTCTCCCCCTGAGTACCTTCCACTACAGTAATGGTCTCCCTTCTACACTCATGAATAAAATGATGCTTGACTTTATGAGTCTGACTTATTTCACTCAATAGAATGATCTCTAGTTCCATCTCTTTTTCTACAAATGGTATTATTTCCTTCTTCTTTATGGCTCAATAATACTCCATTGTGTACCTGTAGCATATTTTCTTTATCCACTATCTCTTGACAGACATCTAGGCTAATTACATTCCTTGGCTTTTGTGAATTGTGCCATGATAAACATGTGTATGTCTTTATTTCTAAAGTATGCTGACATTAATTCTTTAGACAAATGCTCAGACGTGGCCCTCCTGGCATTCTCTCTCTCTGTTTCCAAGCTTCTATGAACTGATTAATTTTTCTCCTTCATGTTGTTCCACCATGGCATTCTGCCCTACCTCAGCCCAGAGCAGTGAAGTCTTCAAACCATTTACTGAGACCTCTGAAACTGTGAACTCAAATAAACTTTGCTTCTTGTTCTTGCCAGGTACTTTGGTCAGAGAGACCCAAAGCCAACTAGCACACATGACTCTATTACTCCTGTCTCCAAAACAACTTCATTACCATTTGTCATTTAAAGATAGGTATCATATCTTGTTCCAACAATGAGAAACTTAGCTCCAATTAATATTTGTTTATCTTACATGTATTTTGGTTATAAAAATATACCTTGCTCATGAATTTTCATGCATACAATATAAAAAATATGTCATCTAACTTTTAAGGACTGACCATGTTTAGTACCATGGCTTATCTACTTTGGAGATTGTTATATAGCACTTTGATTTTTAGAAAGTGGATATCTAATTAATAATTATCAAATTTTCTCTTAAATCACATGATGATGTATCTTAATAAATGACATATCCTAACATTTTTTTAAAAATATTGCTTATTTTAAAATAATGTAAACAGGTTACATGTGTGAATTTTCTATAACTGGAAAATTCAGACACTATCATACTATTTCCTCTAAAATATATCTAGTGATTTCTTAAGCATAATTTATTGAATTTGTAAAACTTGGAATAAACCACAATTTTAGTCTCATCAGCTACACCGTTAGCTTTAAATATACTCTTAGCTTTTCTTGAATATAACAAAGCTTGGCATGATTTGAGGTAATGAAATAATTTTTCAAAAATTATATTTTCCTGTAATTCTTCCTTACTTCAGTGCTGGTTATTTGCTTTCATTATAGTTGACATAAATGTTATATTGTTGCCTTTCAGGTGAATTAAGTCTGGAGGTAGCCTGAATCTGTCAAAATTATTTTGATAAAAAGTAGGTTTCATCAAGTATTTTTTTTTCCTTTTTAATTCTTTTCAGCAGAAGCTTCTAAAATAATAAAATAACTCCCTGGAGATAATTAATCACAGTGGGAATTTAAGACATAATTATTAGAAGATGCAAAACATTCATACTGATTTTTTAAAATAATATTACTTAGTTTCAAAATATATCCTCTCTCAACACTTACTTGGTCTGATTTGTAAATATACATACTTATGTCATTTTTGTGAGAAACATGAAGTCAAATTTAAAATTTATATTAATTATGTATGTTCATCTGCAAGGTCTATTTTGCTAAAGAACATGGACTAAATTTAGATAATTTAAGAAATTACTTTAAAGAAATGATAAGTGACTCGAGGTGGATATTTTTTATTCTGAAATATCCAAATAATTTTTACTATCAGATATACTTAAATATATTTTCATTGTGTATCTAATTTATGTTCCTTGTTTTCAAAATGTATCTTTTATTTAGAATGAGTCTTTTGTAACTAATATTATCAGCTGATGAATACAATATAAATACCAACATCATCGCTCTGCAAGTGCTAATAATATGATTGGTTTAAGAAAAGAATATGAATGAATGCCAAAATACTTAGATCAAATATTGATGAGAGAAAAGCTTTTCATATTTTGCTGAAATTCAATCTTATTTACTAATCATAGGGAAAAGCAATATTAGCAATTTGGAATCATATTTTAGCACCTGAAAATACTAACAAAGTTAACTTCACTAATCATGAAATATTTGGTTAATATTTTACACAATCTGTTTGATGTAACATGAAGTACCCCACATACTAATTTGTTTTTCAAATGGCATATGGGAAATTAATTTTCAGTTTACTGAATATATGGAGAGTAGAGGAAACATACTAAACAACAAGAGGATACAACAAGAGAAATCAAAATGCCGGAAATTCTATAATACAACTTTAAACATGTAAATATCCTGAAAAAAAACAGTTGGGAATAATGCTCAAAATTAAAAGATCAGGAGATACAACCTCTAAATGTCTTGTGTGTACACTGATGAATATATAGTGATTGTCAAAAATGTGGGGAGGCTCTGTGCATGTTCTTGTGCAAATCAGAATAAAAAACAATGAATATGAACAGGTATTTAATGAAGTTATCAAACTCCTGCTGAAAATTTTGTTAGAACTAATAATAACATTTTGATTATGTAAGAAAATAGCTGTACTTTTCTAGAGACAGTAAAGTATTGTGGGCAAATGTCATGATATCAGAGGCATGCTTTATAAAACCTTAACAAAAAATATAGAAAATGAAAATGCTTAAGGCAAAATGCTCAATTTCACATTAAATTAAATATATGAAGATTAATTATAATATGATCTCTACATTATGTGCTTACTTTAAATTTTAAAGCAGAAAGCAAAATGCACACTAACACAGTGACAAAGCCACATATTTTCCTGTAACTGAATATTGCTTGTAACACTCATTTCTCTCACACTTTTTTCAAGTTTTTCTTCTAGTTTACATTGAAAGTTAATAAATAAAACAGTGTATAAATAGAATAGTCAAGGAAAGAAAAAGTTCTGTCTTTCTTCTGATTAGGTCATTTCAGTGAACTCAATTTCACATGGAAGGATGGTATTATGAGCTTGTCATCTAAAGAAACCTCATTTCCATTGATACAGAAATGCCAAATTTAAGTTTTTGGACTAGTAATGGACACTGAATGCAAAGTGAGATGAATTCCAAAATTTCAAATATCACTCTTTGAGTCTTGTGTTTGTCGTAGAGAGTAAATGAATTGATACATGTAAAGTGCTTATAACATGCCTGC